TCATTTTCCCAGCTAGACAAGATTCACATTGTCCATAGGATTCCAAATCCATGGAATCTAGGTATCCATCTGCATGCATCCTAGACAATCTTGTTTCGTTTATGTGCCCTAGTCTACAATGCCAAAGATAAGATTGATTATCTATCCTAGGTCGTTTCACAGCTACATTGAGCACTTCAGTTCCCATTTCCAGAACATACAATCCATTTATTAATGAAGCAGTACCATAAACAATATCATTCAAAATGATAGAAAATGTACCATTCTTAATACTAAAAGTAAAACCATCTTGTTCTAAACAAGAAATAGAAATAATGTTTCTAGAAATGTTCGGAACATAAAGACAATTATTCAAATGCAATAAAAGGCCCGTAGGCAAAATAAGGTCGGCATCTCCAACAGAATGAGCAGCAACCCTTGCTCCATTGCCAACGCGAAGATCCACCTCGTTTCTCTCCAATCTCCTTGGACTCCTAAGCACCTGCAACATATTGCAGATATAAGAACCACAACCGGTATCCAATACCCATGAAGTCGGATTAGCACAAGAATAATTTATCTTAATCATGAAAGTACCTGAGGCAGAAACATCACCATGCTTCTTGTCCTTCACACTCTTCAGGTAGTCTGGACAATTCCTCTTCCAATGGCCTTTCTTGCCACAATGGAAGCACTCAGCATCGCCTTTGTCCTTGGATGCTTTCTTACCCTTCTTGTTGCCCTTCTTCTTCTTGGACTTTCCTTTGGGCTTAAGGGAGTCACCTTTAGCAGGCTCCTTACCCTTACCCTTACCCTTGGCCTTGCTAGGCCCACCAATCAGAAGAGCTTGTGTCCTATCCTTCTCGATAGACACTTCAGCAGTTGTTAACATACTTAACAATTCAGGCAAGCTCACAAGCATCCCATGCATGTTATAATTCATTATGAATTGACTGAAGGAAGGTGGAAGTGAGGCCAGGACTAAGTCATTACTCAGTTCGGCATCCATCAAGAAGCCTAGATTTCCTAGCTTCTTAATCAGCCCGATTATCTTAAGAACATGACTGCTAACAGACATGTTCTCAGACATCCTGCAAGAGAACAGTTCTCTAGAGGCCTCATACCTCTCATGCCTGCCTTTAACGTCATACAACTCCTTGAGATGTAAGACAATAGAGGGAGCATCCATATGCTCATGCTGCTTTTGAAGTTCAGGCGACATGGATGCCAACACGATGCATAATGCCATCGTATCGTCATCCATGTGTTGTTTGTGGGCCTCGAAATCATATTCCGCGAACCCATCTTCCCCTTCCCTAGGAGCTACGAGTAATGCACCATCAAGAACATAGGCAATCTTTTCGGCCCTAAGAACAATTCTCAGGTTCCGATACCAGTCCATAAAGTTTGAACCGGTCAGTTTATTCGTATCAAGTATTGAGCGCAGTGACAGTGGATTAGTCATACTAAAAACTGGAAAAAAATGTAAAGAAAGATTAATTAATATATTGTCGTGTTACAATTTATTAAAGACTCTAAATAAATTGCCCCTCCCACTATTTTATCTAAGTCAATGACCCTTACCATTTGACTTAGGGTTAATCTACTTTTAGATTTTACCTTAGTGAGATTAAGAGTGCGATTATTTATTTTAACCCTCGTCTGAGATCGCAAGATTAATTTAAATAATGGGTTGATCCTAATCAACAGTATCTCATACCCTCTCTTAACATTAGGTTGACAACTCCTAGTCACTTAGTGGTGCATCTCATGCAACCAACCTAGCATTATTACCCTAAGCCCATAAGCCCGGCTGGGCCTGCAACTTATGTCTCAGTTAAGCATTAACCAACACCCTAAGTGTCTAACACTTCTAATACTACTCTTACTCAACGAAAAAGTGGGTCCCAACTGAGTTGTGGAGCACCACTATGTAGAGGAGGTTCGAGTAATATTGGTGGTGGGAGGTAATCATATGCTTAATAATTTATTCCTTTTAAGGGTTCCTTTTATTTAGGGATTTTATTAGGTCTCATCAAACACATTAATATATTATCATGCTAGTCGTAACCTATGTCATATATCTATCGGTTTAGACTAGTCGAAATTGGACGTGCATAATAATCATACAAACGCGATTTGTCTAATTCATGTATACTAGACGTCATAAGCAATAAAGCATACATATCGTGATGCACTATCTCATGCATGCTAGTCGTACAAAACATACATGCAAATAAAAAAAATTATTTTGAGATAGTCATGGTGCTCAATCTTTTGTCCATCTTGCTTCTCAAGTCACGGCTTCTTGTCGTCTATACGCCACTAGCCTAAATTCTCTAATTACAATTAAAGAAACTCCAAAACATTTTGGAGGGACAAAATTTAAAATACAAAATTTAAAAATCAAATTACAACTCTAATTTAAAGAGCAAAAATTACACATTAATTTTAAAATTCGAAATTTAAATTTCGAGCACCATGACCATCCCCTTCCTTTTTACACCTGAAATGTTAGACAACTTACAAGTACAAAATATTATCATATAATATGCTTCTCACATATGTCTTGATATTTAACAATTAAACATCAAAACAAAAATTCAAATTCAAATTTTCTTAATTCCTTATTTGGCCGAATTATATATGACAATCAATATAATTCAAATTTTGTTGACTCTTTCTTAAAGAACACAAAATTAAACCATGCATGTAGCCACAAACACCTTAATGGCCGAACCATATACTAATGTATATGAGATTAATTTTCGAAAAATTTTATTACATGCTTTGCTCATGAAACAATTCATGAAAAATAAGAAAACAATCAAGGTGTTCAAAACACCTTTCATGGTCGAACTTCACCTTTCAAAAAGGTGTTTCCTTTTAAAACTTTCATAAAGAAAAGAATGATAACCATGAATACATATGGATATATGCACACAGCAACCAAATTAAGATGTTCATAAAAAACAAAAACAAAACTTTAACCGTTTAAAGTATTGTAAATTAAAATCCATACATATAAATTGAATCTTTAACTCTTTAAAGAAGTTTTAACCGTGAGAAACAGGTTCACAAACAAGGTACCATCACCCGTCTATGGTAAAGTAACCGGGCTCTGATACCACTTGAAAGTAGAATTGGCCTTGAAGGCCGAAACATGCGTGAGGGAAAAACAAAATTTTTCGCAAGCGGAACACACATGCATATCAAGATACATACTTTAAGACGTATGTCATACCTTGTTCGTGAAAACTCAAGATGATCAAGGTATGTCTGAAGGGTTCAGACCCTCTAACGTTGATCCACACCACCCGCGTCTAGATACAGGAACTCCTTCCAGTAAGGCCGCCGATTGATCACCACAATAAGGCTTGCTATGCGCTCAGTGTGTGATGCAGGAGGCTAGGTAAAAGTGTTTAGAAGAGTGAAGTGTTCTAAGAGAAAAAAACTCACAAGGGGCGCATAGATGAGTAGAGAAAGGCTTGGCTTTTTCACAAAAACCTAAGGTGGAACTAACTGCTACTTAAGCACACAAGAAGAGCCTTTTAAGTTTCAAAAACAAATCAAATTTTTCTCCCAAAAATCTGATCAAAAGTGGCGCCCTTGGGGAGAGAATAAGTGGAGTTGTTGCATTTCAAAAATTGCCAACAACATCCCAGAATATTCTCATGAGACTAAGTTCAAAACCTAGTCAAAAATATGATCATGAATCATCATATAATCAGCTTTATGGTGCGCCCCATATAGCCTAAAAGATGACCAGATACATTTGAGTTAGTTGCATTTCAAACTTAAATCAACTCACTCAAATATTCTCCCAACAGACCGTATCTTCTGGAGCTGATTTTGATGATCAAATCTAGCCAAAATCAGCACCCCATTATCCTTGGATTATGTCCAAAAGATCTCCTCCTGATATGTTCCAACAAGATCTCATCTTATCCTTTTGTTATGAAACAACTTTTCATAGCCAATTCAAATTCGAATTTCAAACATTTGAATTCAAACTTTCAAACACTTAAATTTTAAATTCAAATTCAAATTCTAAATTCAAATTCAAATTTCAAAATTCAAATTTCAAATTTCAAATTTCAAATTTCAAAATTCAAAATTCAAATTTCAAATTTCAAATTCAAAATTCGAATTTCAAAATTCAAATTCAAAATTCAAAATTCAAATTTCAAATTTCAAATTTCAAATTCACAATTCAAAATTTAAGCATTTGATAATTAATATAACTAATTAAATTAATTAGTAATGTGTAACACCCTCCCTTGTATGCATCCAAGAGAGTTGTTTGCTAAGCGGATTAGAGTTCTTTAATCATATTTTAGAGACTGAAAATCACTTTTACAATGCCAATTAAAACTTATAATTGAAATCGGGTTCGTCACAAAAATCAGAGTATACTTTCAAAATTTCTCAACTTACTAAAAATATAACTTTCCTGGCAGACCTTGCTGTCTTTAAAAATTCGTATAAAATTCACTTCAACGATTCAAAAACATATTCTTTGTAATCTAGAAACTAGACATCTGGAGCTTCGCGTTCATATAAAATAATAGTAATTTGAAGTTCGTTTGCCCCTCGAAACATAACTCGTAAAATAAGAGAGAAAGTAGTGGAAATATCACAAATGTCCTGGCTGGTAAAGTTCATAATAAATCGATCTTTCAGAATTTCTTTGCAAGGTTTATATATAATGAAATTAGACACCTGGGGCTACGCGTGCATATAAATTATAAGAAAATCAGAGGTCTGTAGCCCCAGTACGACAACTTACAATGTGCTCACAAAGACTTTTCAAAACTCAGCATTTAGATAACATGTCAAAATCCTTTTTCGCAAACGTTTCAACATCTGTTTCCAAAATACTTGCTGGTCATAAAATCGTAATGTAATAATAAAATCATAGTTCACAGTAATAAAAGCTTCTCAATTTCATACAGTCATCCATAAAATATCACATCAATAGCAGCATGCCCAAACAGTAGAAGCCAACTTCAAATATCCAAGTCCTCAAAAGCTTTTACGTCCTCCTGCCATTTTGTAAAAATAGCAGCCCCAAAGGGGTGAGAGAAAATCCAGTAGTGTGGCAACAAAACCATAATGCAACAATATTAACTAGGCACAAAATCATAAATAGTCACTTCAAACATTTAATCCTTTCCATCATATATCATAACGCGTATATAACGCCCTTTTTCCTTTACGCTCATAGCACCGTCGTGCGCGTAGCATCACATTGGGTATTCCTAATGGCTCCCATGAAGGTGAATCCCACTGTGGAACCTATGCGGACTGAAGCCAAGTGTCCCCTCTCCTGGTACCAGGCATGCCTATATGATGCATGCTCAGTCACATGTCCTCAATACAAATATATATATATTCAAGATGTCATGAATCAAGTATACATGCCATGTTATGCAATCGCACCCAACAGAAAAATGTATTATGATGTAAAATGCATGCATATATCATATCATCCTTTCATATTCTTACCATTGGATCATCATCATCATAACATACATAGAACAAATGTGAGCAACACATCACAATTCCATACACTAGCCAATAGTCACATTAGGTAATACCGCCTACACATACCTTGGCACTTTACTTTTAAATCAAGCATTCCAAACATCATCGAACAGTCCCATTATCTAAGAACTTGTGCACCTAAACAAATACATACATCAAATCATAATTTATCATGTTTATTTTCTACATATTACACGGTTGTCCCACCCTCCTAATCCTTGATTTGTGATCGGTTTCCAGGTCCACATACTAAGCGAATTTTCTGCCATTAATTTAAAATAATTTGTGTGAAATATTCGTGTAAAATAATTGAATCGGTTCCCACATAGGTACAACAAAGGTTTTCATTAAATACTTTATGTGTAAAACTTAAGTCAGAATCCATAGGTTAAACAACTAAAATTCTGCATACAATCATTGCTGCGAAAATGAAACTTTCTTCTTAAACCTGCCTGACTTACAAAATTTATATACAATCGATCTTAACAGTTTACAAAAATTTCCTTTGTTACGAAGGAAGTGCACATCTGGGGCTACGCATACATATAAAATATAGCTCAATCGGAGTTCCGTAGCCCCGGAAACAGAACTCGCAAAATGCCTAAAATTTCAGCCCAAAATCCGAATTTGACAGCATAATAGTTTTATAAACAAAATACCAGAATTAAAAGGGTTTAAAAACAGTATGAAATATTTCGAGACACGGCAAGGTAGACACATCACCATACTTATCCGGTTTCTTACAATTTTACATCAACGCAAACTGATTAGTACATAATTAATCTCTTAATAAACATCAATTTGGCAAAAATCCCATTATTCCTAAATGCACCAATTTAGTCTTACCACTATCACTTAATAATTTTATTTCCTTCTCCAACATACCCTACTGTCATCTCTTAGTCATGGTAAATAAAAATAGCATACAGCCTTCAGACTCTCTAACACATGCCAAAATTGCTAAATTTTCTAATTACGGAACAGTCCAACCCATTTAAATGGCTATGTTCTCAAAATTTCAGTTTTGGATTATCAAATATCAACACCAAAAAGGGCGGTTCCAAGGACAGAATTTATGCAATGAAAATCATCAATAAAAAGTATCCTCCTAGTTAGACATGAGGTGCGCTAAATGTGACCCTTACCCAAGCTGTCTACTCAAAGTTACATCATTATTCTGCCCAAAAGGGCAGTCCTAAGGCATGACAATTAATTCTCTTCCAATCCTAAAATAATTGTTTAAACATGTATCAACTCCTAGGCTGTACCAGTTAACAAATTTCAGAAAATGAAAGTGGCCAGCATCACTCATCCTCCTATTATACATGTATAGGCCGAACCATTAGTGAGTAGTTAATGGTTTAATTTTTATAGTTTACTCTTACTTGAGGTCATTCAGTTCTACGGCAGTCCAAGGCAGAAACAGGGAATATGATAGCAAAAACATGGTTCTCTTAAAGTTCATGTGACAACTGTTTAGAGTAGCATGAAAGAATGACAAAAATTACATCCCCCTTAGTACATGGCAGGTCGAACAAGTAAAGAAACAAAAGGGAACTCTAGACTCAGATTTACCTCCATGAATACCCCCAAGATTAGCGCTTAAAGCAAGGACAACAGCCTTCCTATCTCATTCTTCAAGGATTCGAACTCACAGCCGCATGCAATGGTGGTGCGACCCCATCAAGACAAAGTCATGTTCAAAAAAGAAAACTCACTCAACAATCGGTCCAAGGAGGGGGAAACCAGAAAACAGCAAGAGTTACCTTACCTTCTCCTGCTCAAATTGGAGCAGTGCGCACAAGAGGGGAAAAAGGATGTTGAGCTTCAACCTCCTTGCTCAAGGTTACACGGCTGGCCATAAATAAAAGGATGTATATACTTAACGTGTTGTTGTTTCCTTAGGAAGGTCACGATTTGAGAGAGGGGTGATGTAAGAAGGGAAATCAGCATTGGTTTAAAAAAAAAAAAGAAAAAGAAAAAGAAAGGAAGACATAGGGTAATGTTTTAATCAAAGTTTAGCAACTCAAGTTTTAGTCTCCTCCATTCAGCGCACAAGGGAACTCACGGCGATAGGGGTTTGGTTTAAGCCAACAATAGAGTTCCTTAATTTAGCTTACTAACAAAATTTTAAAAGCAATACACCTCACACATATCAGCGCACAAGGGGAAAGAACAATATGGACAAGATGATTGAGGGTTTCTAATAACCAATCAGATTACATGCAAAAAGAATTTCTCTTTTCCTATTGGGTGCCATGGGTGGTTGTGAGATAGGGTAGATGGGGTTTGCCATGTGGCCATTTTATGGCCAATAAAATTACATGCATACAGATTTTTATTTTTGTGAGAGATAAATAAAGTTTACTTATCACATAAAATACATTCATATTAATTATTAATTCATATTTCCACTAGGTATCAATTAAAATTCCTACCTTTATTATAATTAATTGTAATTCTATCCCTTTTTAACTAGTGTTTTGAATCTTTTAAAATACATAATTATTCACTTATAATTTCCAATAGAATAATTTTCCCAATTAAATTAATTCCACTATAAGTCATAAAATTAATTCGAAATGCAAGTATATTTCACATTCTTACTTATAATTAATATAAGTTCCTAATTATGCGGGATGTTACATAATGTCTTGGACTATCCAAGCCCATTACTTAGATCCATGCGCCCTCCACCCTATCTGTGGAGTTCCAAACTACTTCTTGGGCTAATAACAATTGTTAGACCCAATACCTTTAATGCTAGAGCATCTAGACAATTAGGTGTTAGTGTGTGACCCATTAGGTCCAACATAGCCACTGACATAAATGGGCTTGGGCCCAATAAGCCCACAACCCATCTAATGACAACACAGAGCACTAGCAATGCTTTATTGCCCCAGAACTAGTTAGATTAATGACTTGATCATCCTATTACACATATTTGGTTGCCGTATATATTTCCTTTCGTCTCGGTTACCTTCCCATAAAACCTAGGGTAAGAAAGCGTATCAACCCCTGCGGTTTAGGGTAAGCTTTATTCGAAATAGGGAATCTTCAATTTACAGACTCTAAAGGCAGATCATCTCATGATCTCTTTTACTATGCATAGATTCTCGAGTCCCTGTAAATGTCATCCCGATTTCTCCGGTTTACAGATAACCTAATCTCTCACAGAGATTTGACGAATTCCTTCAGCTTATCACCCAAGCCCTGTGTTCTTTCAGGACAAGCCCAACAGTATACCTATGAGTCTCCATGTTTCAGGCAGACGAGGTGCACAATCAAAGCATGCCTTCTAGAACACAGTCTAGGTAATAACTTCTGGTCTTAGGAAAGACATACCCAAATATAAAGAGACTACTCTAATGATACTCTCTGTGAGAGTTCCTCATAGAGTCTCTTTGTGGGTCTATTCAGTGCGAGCTATACCCTTATAGGTCCACCTACGACTTTAGCTAAAAAATCTCCATATCTGTAGCTCATGAGGTCTTTACCTTGCATCCAAATACAAGTAGATAAGTCGTGCTAGTCTTACCCGAGATCACTGATCCCCATTCTCAGTGTCTCTAGACTAGGAACATAAAATTAGGAATAAACATGCAGTATCCTTGAATCCTCATGATCGTGATCTAATCACAGATACCTATTTTATTCCAAGGGGTTTATCCAGTTACTTATATAAATATTAATAGTAATATTGAGACAAAATATGAAACATGATAAATAGTGCTTTTATTTGCGACAATATAAAAGGTCTACATATGTCCTAATCTAATCAAAAGATTGTCTCTAGGACATCCATATACTAACACCCCAAATGTGGGGTGAGATCTCTAAACAATAAATCTCAGTAAGGCAAGAGGTCCTCAAGGATCTTCCACCCCAAGCTCACATACATGTGCAATATAAGTTTAAAAGCAGTTAATCAATAACATTTCTAAAACAGTGCAATACAACAGATAATCATGTCATGTGTGTCAATACTATTCTACTGATCAGAGAAATGCAGGAATACGTTTATTACCCACACAATATGCAAGACGCTACTTGCACCCACCCACAGACTCACCATCTTGTATGACGCCACATAGTCAGGCTTACCGACTAAGTGGAAACAACACATACATATTATAAGCCATTGCACATATCAGCTCAAAAGCATTTCAAAATATCCAAAGAATGTAACACAGCATGCATATAACCATACCCCCATGGGACATGGTGGAACCACAACATGGCTAAACCAAGGACATGAAAGCTTACCTTGCAAGCTAACACCCAAAGCCAAGAGTCCACAGCTCAAAGTCCAAACACAACAGATTCACAATCTGTTATGGACCAACAATACATCAACAATCATACTCTACAAGTATACAACATAAAGACAACGCCTTGTAGAAGCTCATCAGAGTACTATGCTAAGCATGAATGATTTTCAGTGTTGAGAATTTCAAACAAGACTTTTCAGTTTCAAAAAGGAAATTAGAATCTAACTTGAATACCCCTCAATAAGATAAACAAAACACTCATCACTCAAGTGTTTGGGGTATAATCGCTCAATCCATTAGTGTAATAGTACTACCATAGGCTTGATCTTTTTGGGATTATAACATGGCCTGATTTAGGGGTAAGAATATTTGAAAAGTAGTTAATTTTATTGTGTGAGATTGAAATACATTTAACTTATTTCAAGGCTAAGTCAACTCTCAATTCAATTTATGATTTTTGTTCCTTTTTCACCACCTTTTTCTTTCTTCTTGCTAATAATTTATAGCATAAATTTTCTTTCACAATTTCTTTCTTTTCCTTTGTACATCCTCTTTTTTGACAGATTTCTTTTTCCTTTGAGGTACTTTTTTTCCTTTTTATCACTTATATTTTAATGGAAAACTTCACCTTAAATTTTCCTTGATAAGTATTTCAATCTCATTCAAGGGTGAGTCAACAGGAATATCATCTAAGTAATTTATGGAAAATTGAACAAAAATCGGTCTAAGGCTCAAAGGGGCTAGCAATGGAAAAATTTATTTTTAGGTGGGCTATTTGGCAAAGTGGTTAACAAGAACAAACGTGACTTTATCATTTTGATTAATGCATGCATCACAGAGAACCAGATCAACTTCTAGAATACCACTACAGTGAGGCCTCTAAAAAAAATTAACTGTTTAGGCTCAAACCTCACGGGCTATAGTTTCAAGCTAGAATCTAATCCTAATTTTCACATCAAAGTATTATCTAAAAATTCTCAAAATCAAAATCACAAAATCGAGCAGACATACTCTCTAGATAATATTCAATGCAATGTCATGACAGGAAAAAAAATCATTATGAATTCTCACAGTGTCACCTATGCCTCCAAGAGTCTACTCAGATTTATTAACTAATTCAGCTCATGCTATCTTGAAAAAATATTCAGAGACCAGTAGAATAAGAAAAGAAAACTAAAAACAAAATAAAAAATCAAAAGGTAAAAGGTAAAAATAATAAAAATAAATAAATAAATAAAAAGGGATTGAGATATCTCCTTTGAATTCGAAAATTCTGTTAGGTGTCCCTCTCTTGGTGTCAGTTTCTTAGTCAAAATATGCTATACGCCCTATAATTCTCAGATTTAGAACATTGATGTGCTCAGCAATAACTAAACTAGACATAAGATGGATCTATTTTGCACATTAAGAACATATACACTAGATGAAAACACAATAACATGAAGATACCAAAATCAGATAATATAGTGAGTATGTATCTCAATACAGTACTAAAGAAAAAAGAAATAAAATAAACAAAAAATAAAATAAAATAAATAATACAAAATAGAAAATTGATTGGGTTGCCTCCCAATTAGCGCTTGTTTAATGTCACGAGTTTGACATTGACAGATGATCAAGGTGGCTAGTAGCAAAGAACCAATGCTGGCTTTTTTCCCTTGGTTATAGTCATCTTTTTGGATTTCTTTATTTTAACCTTGGGTTTGCTTTTGGTTCTTAATAGATGAGGACTCTTGAGCTTTGTTCTTCCATCTCCCTTATCTTCAACAAATTGTGCTTGTACATCTTAGGGAAAGATTGTTAGTGATGAAGAATTAATTGTAAAATCAAGAATACTTACCTGGTCTCCATCCACCTTGTGAATTGCCTCATCTGTTAGATCATCTACCACTACATTTGTGGTGGCCAAGAATGGTTCTTTAAGAAGGTGAGCAAAAGCAGGATCCACATCCATATCAATGACTACAAAATTTTCTCTGTACCCAAATTTGCTCGCCTTCATCGGTATATTTTTAGCAATATTAACCAACACTTGAATAAAGCGATCGGGCAATTGTAGAGTCATCTTCACGGATCTTATATGCTTTATTCCCATTTTCTCTAATAAGGTCATTGGCACTTGATTCGCATTGGTCTCAACATCTCATAAGGTTTTCTCAATATGTATGTCTACCATGGGGCCAGGGGTGTTAGTGCTTCTTTCGCTGCATGCCTCAATTGAATTCACAAGATTAGCTTCCTCGCATTCTTCCTCATTTGAAAATCTCATCTCTAGCTCCTCATAGTCTACATTTTCTTCAGTTTTATACTCCTCCAATTCAAGTTTTCATCATGAGAATGTAGGAGGGTAATTGCCATTGGAGAGGGGGACTCTTCCCTATATGTTCAATCTTCTTGCTCTTCTCTTACTTCAAATTATTCTTCAACTTTGGATTCTTCTTCTGTAGTAGATTCCTCCTCGGTTTCGAATTCTTTAGTAGCTTTTGTCACATCCTGATCCT